TTTCCGAAAAAAATTCAGGAGACTCATCTTGACGTCGACTGACTTGAACTGGCAAGCAACAAATTATTTTGCCGGCTAGGAAGACAACTGGCGTCAATAAACTAATTTGAAACATTTTTTGTATAATTTGTGTACAAAAATGACGCGGACAAGTCGCCATTAAAAGAAAACAACACACTTTTATTCAAAAATAACAGAAGCAGCTAGAACCGTGGGACAATTTGATTGGCTGTTTCCCCAAGTACCTGTCAATAATATTTCAACTCAAAGAGATAAATAGTATCAGCGTAGTCAGTGAATCTTAACTTGTTGCAAACTTGTCCTAGTCGCGTGTGGTCGCAAACTTGTAATTTGCGTGTTAGCTTTATCGTATCACGAGTACGTCATAACGATCCCGGATTTTTGGTAGCCCAGTTGGGCTACCGAATTTGAAAAGTGGTAGCCCCAAGAAAGAAACTGGTAGTCTGTAGACGCGGGGCTACCGCTAATTTCGAGCCCTGACATCAATGGTTAACAAATTTTAGCTGTTGCGTAGGTTGACCAAGATTCCTTCAAACACTGTCACAATAACCAAGCTAAAACTAATCTCCCGCAGAAATATCAATGTTTGTAATTGATTGTTATTTTGTTATTGTAGAATGCTGGTGAAGAATCTGTTGCAAATTTGGATAAATTCAGACATGCCAATGGAAGTACCCCTTCATCTGTATTGAGACTTAAAATGCAAAAGGTGAGAGCCATCTTGATTACTTTCATTTAATACAGAAAATGTTACTACCTTGTAGGGATTATAGTATATCAATAGCTACAGGTTTTCTCTATTTTAGAAGATTTTGCATGATGGTCATCGTTTCAAACTCGTCTTTACTGTTGTAAACTGGAGATCAGGAAAAAACATATTGAAGTTGAAGAAATTATTATGAATCTTTGGTTTTGTATTAATGCATACTGAAATTTATTTTCAAAACATATTTTCAGACAATGCAAAACAACGCTGCAGTGTTCAGAACAGGTGAAACTCTAAAAGAAGGCTGTAAATTGATTGATGAGGTCTACGATGGGTTAGAAGACATCAAAGTAAGACTTCTCACAATAATGCTCTAATCTTTTCTGCCACAATTATGCCACATGTATTTTTCTTAAAATTCCTATGTAAATTTTGGACTTTGGATCTTTGCTCCTCCCTGGATTAATCACTCTCATGTTTTCTAATATTACAAGTTAATTTTGAGTTGGTTTGAGTTGAATTGCTATCTTACTGAGTGTGTCCTTGTGTCAAATCAGTTGTAATTTTTTCACAAGTTTAATCAATCTCCTTGTCCCTGATTATTGTCTTATTGTACAACATCACAAAATTTTATTCTGCTTCAAAAAATTGCAGCATATTTTGCAAACTTTTCAACCTCAACGCAGTGCAATACAAATGTTCTGAACAATAATGTGCTGCTGATGTATCTGCCAAGAATGGCATAGTCCCCAATAACAGGAAGTGTATCACTTCCAGGGGTTTTTCTAGAAAAAAAACTGCAAGAGGGAGCACAACAATTCAGCAGCGCCACCAAGTGGGGGGGGGGGGTAGGGTTCTCCATACCAGGCTGTGGAGTTGATATGGAGCATTCGATGGCTTCCTTGGGGCCAAAATTACTATCAGACAGTTCACTCTGGCCACATGTGAACGCTGGTCAATCAGAATTTTATGGTTGCCAGAGGATCTGCTCCGCATGGTCATGGCATGTGGGCGCTGCGCCCCCGTTCCCTTGTTTAAAAAAATCCCTGTTTGACTTTGCTTACAAGATCAACATTGTCACACGCATGGTAGCCCAGCAACCCAAAACTCGTCAATGTCTCGCCCCCACCAATTAAGCAAAAGCATGGATCTGCGTTTAAACTTTCTAAATGATTTTTTTCATATAGTTATACGATAGAGGAATGGTATGGAACACTGATCTAGTAGAAGCATTGGAACTACAGAATTGTCTAATTAACGCTGTACAGACAATGCATGCTGCTGAGAACCGTAAAGAAAGTCGTGGTGCTCATGCACGTGAAGACTTCAAAGTAAGAAAAATAATTTTGTTCGTGCAGGTGTTCTCATCTTCGCCAGCCAATGTCTATTTAGGTGACATCTTGCTGGAATCAAGCACTGGTATGTGGGAGAGTGTGTTCACATCCAGTTTCCAAAGCTCTGTGATTCAAATGGGGCCTTGTGGACTGATTACATTTAAACTTTGCACATACATGTACAGCCCTTTTTGTGCTGAAAAATCAAATATTTTTGATATTCAAAATCGGGATCTTGGTCCTTATGGATGGATTTTTAGTCCCCGTTCGGACGCAGTCCGAAAACGGGGACTTATGTTTTGCCCTGTGTGCGTCCGTCCGTCCGTGATCACCTGTATCTCGAACATGCATGGACCGATTAAGTTCAAACTTCACTCATACATCACACATTATATGGGACATATGCACATGCATTTTTTTCATGATCCGATTAACGATAGCCGAATAGCAGCCATTTTAAGGCCGAAAATGCATCAAAATCGCACATTTTCACCATTCCGGACCCGGATCTCAGTTATGCATGGACGGATTTTGTTCAAATTTGGTACATACATTAAACATAATAGGACCTTGATGCACGTCTTTTTTTTTTTTGGATCGGGTTCGAAATGGCCGACTGGCGGCCATTTTGTTTTAAAGAATTCAGTTCTGGATCCGTATCTGAGACATGCTTGGATTGATCGAGTTCAAACTTCACACACACAAGGTACATCATGTCACAAATATGTATGTGCATTTGTTTCATGATCTCATTACGATAGCCAAATGGCGGCCGCTTTAAGCCGAAAATGCATTGAAATCGCACATTTTCACCATTCCGGACCCGGATCTCAGTTATGCATGGACGGATTTCATTCAAATTTGGTACATACATGAAACATAATAGGACCTTGATGCACGTCATTTTTTTTT